ATAGTAGCTATAGTACATCTATAGAACATCTATAGCACATCTACAGTACATCTATAGTACATCTACAGTACATCTACAGTAAATATAATAATAATATAATAATATATGCCATTTAGCAGACGCTTTTATCCAAAGCGACTTACTGTCATGCGTGCATACATTTTTTTTGTGTGTGTATGGGTGGTCCCGGGGATCGAACCCACTACCTTGGCATTACAAGCGCCGTGCTCTACCAGCTGAGCTACTGAGGACTACATCTATAGTACATCTATAGTACATCTACAGTACATCTATAGAACATCTATAGTACATCTACAGTACATCTATAGCACATCTACAGTACATCTACAGTACATCTATAGTACATCTACAGTACATCTACAGTACATCTATAGTACATCTATAGTACATCTATAGTACATCTACAGTACATCTACAGTACATCTATAGTACATCTACAGTACATCTACAGTATGTTTATAGTACATCTACAGTATGTTTATTGTACATCTATAGCACATCTACAGTATGTTTATAGTACATCTACAGTACATCTATAGAACATCTACAGTATGTTTATAGTACATCTATAGTACATCTATAGCACATCTACAGTATGTTTATAGTACATCTATAGTACATCTATAGCACATCTACAGTATGTTTATAGTACATCTATAGTACATCTATAGCACATCTACAGTACATCTATAGTACATCTACAGTACATCTACAGTACATCTATAGAACATCTACAGTACATCTACAGTATGTTTATAGTACATCTATAGAACATCTACAGTATGTTTATAGTACATCTATAGTACATCTACAGTACATCTATAGTACAGCTACGTACAGTATATATAACGTATTATAAAACACATTGAGCCATCTGTGCCAAATGGAGAGAGAGAGCTGGATTTACCCTTTAACCCTAGGTGGCCATGTGACCATTTCACTGGTGGTAGTATGGTACACTAGCCTGCAGGACGGGTGAGTGTGAGTAAGAGTCCTCTTATGCACACAACCTGGGAGTTCACACACACACACACACACACACACACACACACACACACACACACACAGAAGATGCACGCACGCATGTACACACACAATCACAGAAGATACATGCACGTACACACACACACAATCACAGAAGATGCACGCACGTACACACACACAATCATAGAAGGTGCACGCACGCATGTACACACACACACACACACACACACACACACAGGCTTTCCCCAGCAATACGCCTGAGGATACTTAGTCCTGAGCCAGCCAACAGCTACTATTATGATGAAGCACGTCAAAGACATGGCTACGTCCCAAAACGGCACCCTATTCGCTATATAGTGCACTACTTTTGACCAGAGTCTTATGTAGGGAATAGGGTGCCATTTGGGACACAGCCAAGGTCAAAGGTCAACAGAGACAAGGGTCAGAGAGAGTCACATGGTTAGATACAGGAACAGCAGCACCATGAGTGAGAGAGGCCGTGTCCCAAATAGCACCCTATTCCCTATACAGTGCACTGCTTTTGACCAGGGCCCATATGTCTCTGGTTAAAAAGTAGTGAACTATGTAGGGAATAGGGTGCTAGTTGGGAAGCTACCTGAGAGAGGTACAGTACAGTACACTTTTAGAAAAAAGGGTTCCTAAAAGGGTTCTTCAGCTGTCCCCATAGGAGAACCCTGTACTTCACTGTACTTGTGCGTGTGACATTAAAATGTGAAACTTGAAATTTGAAACTTTTTGATTCCAGGTAGAACTCTTTTGGGTTCCATGTAAATTAGAACCCTCTGTGGAACGGGTTCAACATGGAACCAAAAATCGTTATTCAAAGGGTTTTTCTATGGGGACAGCCGTAGAACCCTTTTAGGTTCTAGGTAGCACCTTTAATTCTAAGAGTGTTCAGTACAGTGACGGTTATGTAAAGGAGTTCCAGGTCTCACAATGAGAATTACAACAGAGGTTAGCATCATTAACCCTGTCAATCACATCACTGAGATGAAAAATATATGACTGGGAAAGTTTATCAATCAAAGCTGTGTTCATGTTCCTGGAAGTTGGCCTCTGTCACCAAATGCAGGCTGGAGAAGTGGTGCGAGAATAGCCTTAACTAAGCCAACATCATTTCTATTGGACCACTTCCCCTTTAGGAAGATACTTATGGTCGTTACAAAAAAAACTACATTTGACGACGACACCATTTGGAAAAAGCATCCAAAGGTGCAAGTCATTATCGACTAAAAGGTGCAACAACAAAACATAGTTTGACAAGCAGGCTGAAATCAAAGGGGGATAGGGCATGCTGGGCATACGGTGGCCACTGACATGCTTTTGGATCACTTTTCTTCGGTCTCAAAGGCCAAACTGATGCACCCTTTCAGACTCGATGCCTATAGCTTTTAAATTATACTGGACCATGATAGTGAGAGAGGAAACACTCCCAATCATATATCAAACTAACGTGGATAAGAAACAAATGAAAACGTTGTGATCAAAACAGCATCAAAGTAAAAGTGAGTACTTGCATTAGAAGGAAAGAGGAAAAGAGTGCATGCCAAGCCGTTAGGGTTCAGCTGAAAACAGGGTGGGTGTAGAAACGAAAAAGAGAATAGAACAGAGGAGTCAAGACAAACAGAAAAAAAAAAAAAAAAAAAAACAGGCAACTGAACACAACTCTCATGCAGAGCGAGAGAGCATGCAGCCACAAACAGTCAAAGAGCAAATAGGATATATTCTAGAGTTTATACAAACCTCCAACATTAAATTGCTATGCCTGATATAAATAGTTTCACCCTCAAGTTTCTTAGCTCTTTTCTGTGAAAAACGAAGAAAACAAAAAAAGAACAAAGTTGGTCTCAGGAAGATGTGGAACTGAAATCCTTCATTTATTATTTATTTTGTATTTAATTTTTTACTTTTACTGTTTGACTTGCAAGCGATTGCGTCGGGTATGTGTGCATTCGTTCCTGATGGTGGGAGAAGTGGCGAGGGACCAGATGATACCATGGGGGAAGTGCAGTGAAGCGGAGTGCAGGGTGAGTGCAAATGTCCAGGGGTGACGGTGGTCATCAGTGGAGACTGTGACCACCGTCAGGTGACCAACTTCTGGTGGGTTTCTGTCAGTGACCAACATCTGGTGGGTTTCTGTCAGTTACCAACATCTGGTGGGTTTCTGTCAGTTACCAACATCTGGTGGGTTTCTGTCAGTTACCAACTTCTGGTGGGTTTCTGTCAGTTACCAACATCTGGTGGGTTTCTGTCAGTTACCAACATCTGGTGGGTTTCTGTCAGTTACCAACATCTGGTGGGTTTCTGTCAGTTACCAACATCTGGTGGGTTTCTGTCAGTTACCAACATCTGGTGGGTTTCTGTCAGTTACCAACATCTGGTGGGTTTCTTTATTACAGGACTAACTGTGAGGGGAACCACATGTTGACAGATAAATCCACCATATACATACATGCTGGGGTTGTTTAGTAGTAGTCGTGCATTATCATTGTGCATGATCAGTTTTTATGCATTACCTAAAGCACAATTCAATGCCTTATTTGAGTGATTCTTACTGTGGCGGCAGACAAGTGCAGCTGAGGGCTTTCCTCATTATAGCGTCTGGAGCACAGGCTTGGTCAGTCCAGATTCATTCACTTACAGGCACCTCATTCAATTGGTTTAGCTCTCATAGTCTCTCTAGTTCTACTCGGTGAAGAAGGATGTCCACAAGAGGAAAGCTTTACGTATTGCCTCTGCAGGAGGTAACAGAAAGGCTGATACTGTTGGATAAGTAGCCTCCACTTATTGATTTCAAAACAAAAAATGGTGGAAAATAAGAGACTTTCTCCGTAACTGTCCAAAGAAGTCTCTGATCATTGTGAACACATGGAAGTCGTTAAGAAGGGAACGCCACAGACAAACAGCCTCTTGTATAGCTGTCCTATTACAGTAGGTATACAAGGCTGGAGGACAGAGAAACAAACAGCCAAAAAAACAAACATTACCAACAAAACATTTTTTTTTTTTTGTATTAGAAATGCTCTCAAATCAAGGGGGAAAAAAATCAACTGAAAGGCGACTATTGATGCGAGGATGAGGATGTGAATCACTGAGTGTGCGTCCCAAATGGCACCCTATTCCCTACATAGTGCTCTACTTTTGACCAGAGGGGCCCCATAGGGCTCCGGTCAAAAGTAGTGCACTACATTGGAAGCCATTTGGTATGCAGGCTGCAACTGTAGACAGATATCTAACCTTCTTCACTCGCACCATCTCCGTGCCGGTTCTCTCCCGGGGCGAATGCTGCTGATCCCCCCCCAGAGGAGGGAAGAGAGAGGGCAGGTACATTAACATTAGAGCCCCATGGGTCTGTTTCAAACCCTTCTTCCTGTTAATAGTTTAGTTTGACACATGCATCTCACGTTAAAGAACCCCAGCCACATGTATCGACGTTTTAATATTTAGTCAGACCCCTGCACAGCCGCTGTGAGTCTGGCAAGCGAGACTACACATACAGGTCATTCGTGTCTGATGTTTATGGTTGTAACCCTCCCCACGTATATATTTCAGTCAAGACAAATACAGTAATACGGTGTGTGTGTAATGTTAAAACCCAACGCATCAGCATTGTAGACTGACAGACGTGGTATTATAACCACGTGTATATATATTAGACAGACAGACACACAGTAATGCATGTGTTTCGTGGTATTATAACCACGTGTATATATATATTAGACAGACAGACACACAGTAATGCATGTGTTTCGTGGTATTATAACCACGTGTATATATATTAGACAGACAGACACACAGTAATGCATGTGTTTCGTGGTATTATAACCACGTGTATATATATTAGACAGACAGACACACAGTAATGCATGTGTTTCGTGGTATTATAACCACGTGTATATATATTAGACAGACAGACACACAGTAATGCATGCGTCTCCTGCTGTGCTAGCTAGGCGTTGATAAAGGCCACAAACCTGGCTCTTTCTCTCTCTCCCTGTCCCGTTGGTGGTGGTGACTGCAGGGGCATGATGACTGCTCCCCCTGGCTCCCTCCCTCTGTAGTGGTGGCAATATCACACAGACAGCTCAGAGACTCACACACTACAGTGGGCTGCCAACAGGGCGGCGCTGCTACCATCTAACTGGAGCACGGGCTATAGGTATACCCAAATTATCCCTATGGATATGCCTCCCCTTAATAAAAGCTACTGTATAAACCTCTGTTGAATAGTGATACTGTATAAAAAACCTACACATGTACATGTTGAACTGCTGTCTGGCATTTCAATTTGTTTCTAGACATTTTGTTATGATGTAGTGTCATCCTCGTGTGATCAACCTGGTTCAATCGGTGTCCAATTAAATCCTGTACAATGTGTTCTGTAACACCGCTGATAGAAATGGTGTATCGTGCAGTGAGACAATGTCGTGTTACATCCCAAGAGAGCTGCAGTGTGTCCTGGCCTGATTCTGTGTGTGTATAAGTGTGAGTGTTATACCTTGAACTCTGGGGTGGACTGTGGTCTGGAACTCTGTGTCTTGGAGACCTCTGTCACCTTGCTCTCCACCCTGCTCGCCACCTTGGCCTCCTCCTTGGCCTTCCTCTCTGCTGAGCGGGACTTGCGGCCCGCGGCGGTAGATGCTTCTCGCCTCTCACAGCGAGGCAAGGCCGAGGTCACAGGGGACGGGGCGGCATCCCCGGGAGAGACAGGGGACATGATGGGAGCACTGACCGGACGAGTGCTCTTGTCTGGAGTGGACACCATGGCTATAGGGGGACGGGAGGAGAGGAGAGGAGAGGAGAGGAGAGGAGAGGAGAGGAGAGGAGAGGAGAGTGAGAGAGGAGAGGACGAGGAGGAGGAGAGGAGAGAGGAGAGGAGAGGAGAGGAGAGGAGAGGAGAGGAGAGGAGAGGAGAGAAAAGGAGCGGAGGAGAGGGAGAGAAGAGGAGAGGAGAGAAGCGGAGAGGAGAGGAGAGAAGCGGAGAGGAGGGGAGAGAAAAGGAGCGGAGAGGAAGGGAGAGGAGAGGAGAGGAGGAAAGAGGAGATGAGGGGAGATAAGAGAAGCGGAGAGAGGAGGGGAGAGAAAAGAGCGGAGGAAGAGGAAGGAGAGAAGAGGAGCGGAGGAACAAGAGGAGAGGAGATGAGGGGAGAGGAGAGGGGAGGGAGAGGAGAGGGGAGAGGGAGGGGAGAGGAGAGGAGAGGAGGGAGAGGAGAGGAGAGGAGAGGAGAGGAGAGGAGAGGATGAGGAGAGGAGAGGAGAGAAGAGGAGAGGAGGGGAGGAAAGAGGAGAGAGGAGAGGAGATGAGGGGAGAGGAGAGGAGATGAGGGGAGAGGAGAGGAAAGGAGAGGAGGGGAGGAAAGGAGAGGAGGGGAGGAGAGAGAGGAGGAGAGGAGAGGAGAGGAGAGGAGAGGAGAGGAGAGGGGGCAGAGGAGATGAGGGGAGAGGAGAGGAGCATGAGGGGAGAGGAGAGGAGAGGACGGGGAGGAGAGAGGAGAGGAGATGAGGGGGAGGAGAGGAGATGAGGGGAGAGGAGAGGAGGGGAGAGGAGGGGGGAAAGAGGAAAGAGGAGAGGAGAGGAGAGGAGAGGAGAGGAGAGGAGAGGAGAGGAGAGGAGAGGAGGAGGAGAGGAGAGGAGAGGAGAGGAGGAGGAGAGGAGAGGAGAGGAGGAGAGGAGAGGAGAGGAGAGGAGAGGAGAGGAGAGGAGAGGAGAGGAGTCCAAACTTTAGTTGGTTACAAAATCCCAGCAAAGAGAAATAGGAACCATAAAGAAACTGCAGCAATAGGTCTCCTGCATATTCACACTCAACATAATGACTCACACTCAACATAATGACTCACACACAACATAATGACTCACGCTCAACATAATGACTCACACACAACATAATGACATACTCACACACAACATAATGACATACTCACACACACGTGCACACTCACAAAACATGTACAAATTGCCCCATACGGCACCTTATTGAAGGCAGTTCCTCGTGCGACCACCAGGGTCCAGCGAAATTACATAGACTAGAGAGAGCGTACCTGCGAGGATGGAAGTTGGAACCAATGGAACAGACCCTGGAGTAGGAGGTGAAGGATCCAACAACACAAATCCATCACTGGCACTGAAGAGAACCGATCAGAGACAGTATCCTATGGCCTGAGACTGGTGGCATGTGACCACACAAAGTACCATACCTCTATAGAGGTAGAGTTCTTCTTTATAAACTGCTGCAAAGCCAAGTGAGAACACAATGAGGCCAGAAAAAGAGATCCATACCTGAGCAAAGTACTTCAGAGGAAGAAGCAGACGATATCAAGCTGTGGTTACTATAAGAGAAGTGTAGGGGAAGATGTTATGCTATCCTCACAGTAAGAAGTTACCACTTGTGAAAGTTAAGACGATTATGACTTATGAAAGTTAGGACCATTCTTCTTCTGCTGTAGCATCGTAGAGTTATTTTAAGCCTCTGCCATTTACCTCACGGAACAGTGGGTGTCTTGGGACCGACAGGATCCCACAGGAAGTCATATTGATTTTTATTTAGCTCACACACAGGCGCAGTGGCTGCTGGTGGCTAATAATGTAACATTGTCTTCAGGAACCAAAGCAAAGCCACATATCCCAGCAGACATGTCGAGTTGAAAACACAACACAGCAGCTTGTTAAGTCTGGCGTTGTCTGTTGAAAAACAAGGTCAGTCCCTGAGTGAGTAAGCGCAGGGCGGCTCTCCTTCAAGTCTCTTCTTCTTCTCCTTCAAGCCGCTCTTCCTGTATGTATTTGGGGTTTCTCAGGGACCAAAGCAAAGCCACATAGTATCCCAGCAGGCATGTCGAGCAGCTTGTCAAGCCTGAGTCAACCGCAAGGTCAGTTCCTGGGTGAGTAGGCACTGGGTCTCCTGGGTCAGTAAGCACTGGGTCTCCTGGGTCAGTAAGCACTGGGTCTCCTGGGTCAGTAAGCACTGGGTCTCCTGGGTCAGTACGCACTGGGTCTCCTGGGTCAGTAAGCACTGGGTCTCCTGGGTCAGTAAGCACTGGGTCTCCTGGGTCTGTAAGCACTGGGTCTCCTGGGTCAGTAAGCTGCTCTTCCCATAGCTACCTGGAGGCGGTGGTGTGAGTGATGCAGGCGGGTCGTGATCCAGGTTGGAACAGCGTGGAACACACACAGAGCATGCTGATGAAGCCGAAGGCGGGTCGTGGTCCAGGTTGGAACAGCGTGGAACACACACAGAGCATGCTGATGAAGCCGAAGGCGGGTCGTGGTCCAGGTTGGAACAGCGTGGAACACACACAGAGCATGCTGATGAAGCCGAAGGCGGGTCGTGGTCCAGGTTGGAACATGCTGATGAAGCTGCTGATGAAGCCGAAGTAGGTTAAGCTACGGTAGGATTCGGTTTTTGCAAAACCACTCGTCTCCTCTTCCTCCTTCCTGGTTCTCCTGATGCCGTCCAGCTCCTCTCCTCTGTTACCATGACACCATGTTTTATTTCTGTCTCCGTGACAGCCTCACGCTCGACCTGAGACGATGTGACTAGATCAGGGAAGAAGGCAGCTGTCAATCATGAAACAGCTACCGCGCCAACCAACTACATTCAGCTTAGTTTAATATAACTTTTTATGATCTCTGTAGAGAAAGAAGAATTCTGACCTCAAAGATACTCCTCAATGACTACCGCTTAAATAAATATGAAATAAAATAAACTACTTTTCAACTGTTGACTAATAAAACTCTTGAGGAGTCAGGACTCACACTGTAGCATGCTGGGTGTCTTAATAGGGTTTGGGCAGGGAGGTGTGATGATCCAGCAGAACGAACCTGACCTCCTCCTCTCCCTGAGACCTCCTGCCTCCACCACCCCCAACCTCAGCAGGAACATCAACAGCTGCTGGAGGTGTCGGGAGGAGCAATCATTATTACAGTAATGCAGGTAGGTAGCCTAGCGGTTAAGAGCGTTGGGCCGGTATCCGAAAGGTCGCTGGTTCGAATCACCGAGTGGACTAGATGAAAAATCTGTCTGTGCCCTTGAGCTCCCGTAAGTCGCTCTGGATAAGAGCATCTCCTAAATGACGTAAACGTAAGTAAAAAGGTTGTGATTAACGATTAGGAGAATGATGATGGGGATTAGACACATCTTTCGGTCCTTGAAAAGCTCCTAATCTAAAAGCAGCAGGACAGTGTGTTTACTGCACTGTGCCAGTGGGTGGCAACATTGAGCTGAGAGTCGAAAGCAGACAGAGCAAGTTTGTCTCGTAATCCCAGATGTCCTGAAATTCGCAGTTCAGATGCAGTTCAGGAGAATAGATAAACAAGCTCCTCTAAAAGCAGTGCACTATATAAGGAATAGGGTGTGATTTGGGAAGCAGACTAACACTACTCTGCCATAGGCCCTGGGACTAGAACATGATGCCGAGATGAGATGAAAGCTGGGCGGCTGGGAGGGGTCTGCTCGCCGCTGGTTCTCTCTCTCTCTCTCTCTCTCCCTCTCTCGGCATGACCTCAGGAGTTCATTCAGAAGTCTCTGTATGAACCTACACTACATAGTCAAAAGTATTATGGATCTGTTGGACGTTGGAGCATTGCTGCGGTGGGCTTGCTTCCATTCAACCACAAGAGCATTAGTGAGGTCGGGCACTGATGTTGGGTGATTAGGCCGTGTTCGCAGTCGTCGTTCCAATTCATCCCAAAGGTGTGAAATGGGGTTGAGGTTCAGGGCTCTGTGCAAGGCCAGTCAAGTTCTTCCACACCGATCTCGACAAACCATTTCTGTATGGACTTCGCTTTGTGCACTGGGGTATTGTAATGCTGAAACAGGAAAAGGCCTTCCCCAAACTGTTGCCACAAAGTTGGATGCACAGAATCGTCTAGAATGTCATTGTATGCTGTAGCGCTAAGATTTCTAGCCCGAACCATGAAAAACAGCCCTAGACCATTATTCCTCCTCCACCAAACTTTACAGTTGGCACTATGCATTGGGGCAGGTAGCGTTCTCATGGCATCCGCCAAACCCAGATTGTGTGCGGCTGCTACTGACGAACAGTTATTGTGCCGACGTTGCTTCCAGAGGCAGTTTGAAACTCGGTAGTGAGTGTTGCAACCGAGGACAGACGATTTTTACGCGCTACGCGCTTCAGCACTTGGCGGTCGCGTTCTGTGAGCTTGTGTGGCCTACCACTTCGCGGCTGAGCCACTGTTGCTCCTAGACCACCACCATGCTTGACCTTTGGTATGATGTTCTTACTGTGGAATGCAGTGTTTGGTTTTCGCCAGGCATAATGGGACCCATCTCGTCCAAAAAGTTGAATCAAGTTTGCCAAAAAGCACCTGGATGATCATCAAGACTCTTGGAAGAACGTTCTATGGACAGATGATTCAAAAGTATAACCAGTAATGCCTGGCGAAAACCAAACTCTGCATTCCACAGTAAGAACATCATACCAAAGGTCAAGCATGGTGGTGGTGGTGTGATGCTTTGGGGATGCTTTGCTGCCTCAGGACCTGGACGACTTGCCTTAATAGAAGGAACCATGAATTCTGCTCTGTATCAGACAATTCTACAGGAGAATGTCAGGCCATCCGTCTATGAGCTGAAGCTGAAGCGCAGCTGGGTCATGCATCAAGACAATGATCCAAAACACACAATCAAGTCTACATGAAAATTGCTAAAAAGCAACAAATTGGAAGTTTTGGAATGGCCTAGTCAAAGTCCAGACCTAATCCCAATTGAGATGTTGTAGCAGGACTTGAAACGAGCAGTTCATGCTTGAAAACCCACACATCACTAAGTTAAAGCAGTTCTGCATGGAAGAGTGGGCCAAAATTCCTCCACAGCGACGTGAGAGACTGATCAACAACTACAGGAAGCATTTGGTTGGAGTCATTGCAGCTAAAGGTGGCACAACCAGTTATTGAGTGTAAGGGGGCAATTACTTTTTCACACAGGGGAATTGGGTGTTGCATAACTTTGTTTATGAAATAAATGAAATAAATATGTAATTGTTGTGTTATTTGTTCACTTATGTTCCCTTTATCTAATATTAGGTTTTGGTTGAAGATCTGATAACATTCAGTATCCCAAATATGCAAAAGTAGAGAAAATTAGAAAGGGGGCAAATAGTTTTTCATAGCACTGTATAGTGTTCCTGGAGAGAGACATATAAAAAATAATAATAAAATAAATAATATACTTCTAATAAGCTTTTCTAGTTGTGTTGTAGTGTGACAGTCAATCTCTCTTAAGAGAAAATAAACAAATAGAGAAGATATATTGTAGACTCGGCGTGACATGACAGATAATCTGACCAGGGCTCAGTGAGGTAAGGTCAAAGGTCATGCATACTGTAGCCAAGTAGGAATGCATTTAAGGTGGAATCGAAGTATTCAGGGGTTGAGGTTGGGACAGGGGTTAAAGGCCCTGTCTGAGCCCTGATTGGATGATACCTGAGGAAGGTGCAGGACGGGGATTGGAGGGCACGGTGGTGGTGGTGGAGGTGGAAGAGGCACGGTAAACCATGACAACAGAGAATGAGTCCTCGCTCCACGTCTCTTTCACTTGTGTGACACTTGAAGGGGCAGACTGGGAAGTGGTCACTATGTCACACTAAGGGAAAAACTGCTTAATTTACAAACAAAGACACCGACATACATCCTCAACAAACACTACTGAGGTTAACTTAAACCCCTCATAACTTAGTTGAAACTTGAAACATGAAATGAGTGTAGCGGCGAGTTAAGGAAGTAAAAACAGACGAGTGTGTATTAAACCAGCTCTTGCATGACTGTGTGAGTTAGCAGATCTCCAGCTGTGAAGCTAACCTCAGGATCATCGGTAGCCAGCACACAGTAGGAGCTCCAGGATGAGATCACCATCCTCAAGAGTTCTTCAGGTTAGGTATGAGGTCAGCTCCAGGATAAAACAGAACCATCCTCAAGAGTTCTTCAGGTTAGGTGTGAGGTCAGCTCCAGGATAAAACAGAACCATCTTCAAGAGTTCTTCAGGTTAGGTATGAGGTCAGCTCCAGGATAAAACAGAACCATCCTCAAGAGTTCTTCAGGTTAGGTATGAGGTCAGCTCCAGGATAAAACAGAACCATCTTCAAGAGTTCTTCAGGTTAGGTATGAGGTCAGCTCCAGGATAAAACAGAACCATCCTCAAGAGTTCTTCAGGTTAGGTATGAGGTCAGCTCCAGGATAAAACAGAACCATCCTCAAGAGTTCTTCAGGTTAGGTATGAGGTCAGCTCCAGGATAAAACAGAACCATCCTCAAGAGTTCTTCAGGTTAGGTATGAGGTCAGCTCCAGGATAAAACAGAACCATCCTCAAGAGTTCTTCAGGTTAGGTATGAGGTCAGCTCCAGGATAAAACAGAACCATCCTCAAGAGTTCTTCAGGTTAGGTATGAGGTCAGCTCCAGGATAAAACAGAACCATCCTCAAGAGTTCTTCAGGTTAGGTGTGAGGTCAGCTCCAGGATAAAACAGAACCATCCTCAAGAGTTCTTCAGGTTAGGTGTGAGGTCAGCTCCAGGATAAAACAGAACCATCCTCAAGAGTTCTTCAGGTTAGGTATGAGGTCAGCTCCAGGATAAAACAGAACCATCCTCAAGAGTTCTTCAGGTTAGGTATGAGGTCAGCTCTAGGATAAAACAGAACCATCCTCAAGAGTTCTTCAGGTTAGGTATGAGGTCAGCTCCAGGATAAAACAGAACCATCCTCAAGAGTTCTTCAGGTTAGGTATGAGGTCAGCTCCAGGATAAAACAGAACCATCCTCAAGAGTTCTTCAGGTTAGGTATGAGGTCAGCTCCAGGATAAAACAGAACCATCCTCAAGAGTTCTTCAGGTTAGGTATGAGGTCAGCTCCAGGATAAAACAGAACCATCCTCAGAGTTCTTCAGGTTAGGTATGAGGTCAGCTCCAGGATAAAACAGAACCATCCTCAGAGTTCTTCAGGTTAGGTATGAGGTCAGCTCCAGGATAAAACAGAACCATCCTCAGAGTTCTTCAGGTTAGGTATGAGGTCAGCTCCAGGATAAAACAGAACCATCCTCAGAGTTCTTCAGGTTAGGTATGAGGTCAGCTCCAGGATAAAACAGAACCATCCTCAAGAGTTCTTCAGGTTAGGTATGAGGTCAGCTCCAGGATAAAACAGAACCATCCTCAAGAGTTCTTCAGGTTAGGTATGAGGTCAGCTCCAGGATAAAACAGAACCATCCTCAAGAGTTCTTCAGGTTAGGTATGAGGTCAGCTCCAGGATAAAACAGAACCATCCTCAAGAGTTCTTCAGGTTAGGTATGAGGTCAGCTCCAGGATAAAACAGAACCATCCTCAAGAGTTCTTCAGGTTAGGTATGAGGTCAGCTCCAGGATAAAACAGAACCATCCTCAGAGTTCTTCAGGTTAGGTATGAGGTCAGCTCCAGGATAAAACAGAACCATCCTCAGAGTTCTTCAGGTTAGGTATGAGGTCAGCTCCAGGATAAAACAGAACCATCCTCAAGAGTTCTTCAGGTTAGGTATGAGGTCAGCTCCAGGATAAAACAGAACCATCCTCAGAGTTCTTCAGGTTAGGTATCCACTGCCAGACCACCCTGTGCTGTTGTGACTGGCTACCTGGTCCAGGGTTCAGTGTTAAGTGTTGAGACAGAGACCAGGGCCCGGTTTCCCAAAAGCATCTTAAGGCATCATCGTTAGACCCTTCGTAGGAGCATTGTTAAATCTCAGAGCGGTTTTCCAAAACCATCGTTAGTAAAGTTGCACTTGAAAACACTCATTATTTACCGACCGCATCAGACCACTCTTGAACAGCTAAGTGCGCCGTTAGATGTTTTTTTTGCCCTTCTGTGTCACTTTATACACAGAAGATCTACGCTAAACATATAATCAAGCTGTTTATCAGTCTCTCTGTGACCGCCGATATCTTAGCCAATGTCTTTGCAATTGAACACGCAAAGGAAAAAAATATGCTTAAAATGAAAACCGAGACAAAACATTAGGAACACCTGCTCTTTCCATGACATAGACTGACCAGGTGAATCCAGGTGAAAGCTATGATCCCTTATTGATGTCATTTGTTAAATCCACTTCAATCAGTGTAGATGAATGGGAGGACACTGGTTAAAGGAGGATTTCTAAGCCTTGAGACAATTGAGACATGGATTGTGTATGTGTGTGCAATTCAGAGGGTGAAAGGGCAAGACAAAAGATTTAAGTGCCATTGAACGGAGTATGGTAGTAGGTGCCAGGCGCACCGGTTTGTGTGTCAAGAACTGCAACGCTGCTGGGTTTGTCACGCTGAACAGTTTCCCGTGTGTATCAACAATGGTCCTCCACCATTGGAGTCAACATGGTGCCAGCATCCCTGTGGAACGCTTTCCACACCTTGTTGAGTCCACGCCCCGACGAATTGAGGCTGTTCTGAGGGCAAAAGGGGGTGCAACACAATATTACGAATGTGTTCCTAATGTTTTGTACACTCAGTGTATATTTCAATCATATTGAAATAAATGTAATGTTCAGTCAATTGAGTTCTATTTGTAGGCTACACTGTCTATGTGCAACAACATATGCACAATGATGTGCCAAATGAATCTTTGATTCAGTGAATTATTATAGGGTAAACATTAGAATAAGCTGACTCAATATTTGCAGCCATTAGGTGATAATATCTCTCTAGGAGCTGATCCGTCGTCAGCATTGTGGAATAATTCTAATGTTAAGGTAAGATTTGAATGGAGAAAGCTGATCTGAGATCAGCGCTGCCTTTCTTTTGATCCTATCAGTATGGACACATGCTCCAACGACGCACGTCGCAAATGTTCTTTCTGCGTGGTGTTCTGGGAAACACATGTAACATCTTCGGCCGTTGTAGGAAAGATGGATCGTTAAGCCTGAATTCCATCGCTATGGCGAAACCGGGCCCTGAGTGTGAGAGCGTTAGCAGCAGCAGTTAGGTGGCAGGTGGAGGCTGCCAGAGCCCACAGGGAGTAAGACGTTGAAGCTGTTTTGTGTGGTTACACTTAATCACTGGCTTGTGCCCTGCCTGCCGTATGTTGTCAGCAGAAATAAAAACAGATGTTATGGAGAGCAATTACATAACGGAGAGAGAGAAGGATGATGAGGAGGAGAGGAGGAGAGGAGGAGAGGCGGAGAGGAGAGGAGGAGAGGAGAGGAGAGGAGAGGAGAGGGGAGAGGAGGGGAGGGGAGGGGAGGAGGAGGGAGGGGAGGAGAGGAGAGGAGAGGAGAGGAGAGGAGAGGAGAGGAGAGGAGAGGAGAGGAGAGGAGAGGAGAGGAGAGGAGGGAGAGGAGAGGAGAGGAGAGGAGAGGAGAGGAGAGGAGAGGAGAGGAGAGGAGAGGAGGAGAGGAGGAGAGGAGGAGAGGAGAGGAGGAGAGGAGGAGAGGAGGAGAGGAGAGGGGAGAGGACAGGAGGAGAGGAGGAGGGGAGGAGGAGGAGGAGAGAGGAGAGAGGAGAGAGGAGAGAGGAGAGAGGAGAGAGGAGGAGAGGAGAGGAGGAGAGATCAGAGGACAAGAGGAGAGGAGAGGACAAGAGGAGAGGAGAGGAGAGGAGAGGAGAGGAGAGGAGAGGAGAGGAGAGGAGAGGAGAGGAGAGGAGAGGGAGGAGAGGAGAGGAGAGGAGAGGAGAGGAGAGGAGAGGAGAGGAGAGGAGAGGAGAGGAGAGGAGAGGAGAGGAGAGGAGAGGAGAGGAGGAGAGGAGTAGGACTTAGCTAGCACCCGCACGCAACCGTTGCAAAAATATAGTTTCACATACATATTATTCAATAATTTCATCCAAACTGCTCGCGCGTCAACTGGCGTCTGCGTAGCCAGGCGCTAAAATTGAACTTGGTTCTATTTTAGACGCTACACGCGCTGCAAGTCCCGCCTCTCCCATCTACTGATTGGTTTTTATGAGCATACTAACCCATGTGGGTGATTGAAAGATGAACTGAGGTCCACACTCCAGTCCAGTTGGTGGCAGTAACGCACCTTAAAGTTGGTTGCCAACCACCATATAAAATCCACAAGAATGAACGAGGAGCGATTAATCAAAGAAAACGAAAAACTAACTAGGTTTCCCCTTTTATCTGTGGATTAATTGTCGGAGTAAAGAACACACGATTTTGTGACTCAAAATGGTTCCGAATTCTACAAAGATCCAGATTTAAAAAAGGACCATATGTATTTCAGGTAAAATAACAACCCAATGTTTGTCTACCAGGACAAATTAACTAGCAACAGCAAGCTAGCTAAATGTCCATGTTTCATGTGTTTCGACCTGTCCCCAAATGAATATAGTTGGTTCACAGTTGGTTTTGGTATTTTAACCTGCGTGTCATGATCGCCACTGCTGGGGATCGACAAAATCAACATGCGCATGATGGTGCGCGCGGACGCACGCCTGGAGCCGGTTTGGTGTTAGAGGTTGAGAAGAAGCCAGTGAAGAGAGGGTTAATAAACCCTGGAGTGGGCCAGTACTGTTACTGTCCCTGAAGGTAATGTTACTACGGAGATGGGTGGTTGATATGGTAACCAGTCATCCTCTTCTTTCCTCTCTGGGAGGGTCTGGAGTAAACACAAAGACTTACCTCTTGCTGGATTTAAACAGGGATGAGTCAGAATCTATTTGTCGGTTTGTTTCACCTCGCACACTACAGACTCTCTCTCTCTCTCTCTCTCTCTCTCTCTCTCTCTCTCTCTCTCTCTCTCTCTCTCTCTCTCTCTCTCTCTCTCTCTCTCTCTCTCTCTCTCTCTCTCTCTCTCTCTCTCTCGACACAGACACCCCTCCAACAGTCCCATTCAACAAACCTTCGTCCAGGCTGCGTGAGTTCCTCTTGCTGGCCGAGCGTTGGAACAGGGGGGCTGGCCTGTCAATCATAGAGCTGGCCTGGCGGGTCTGGGCCTGGGTCCGTCCACTGTAGCGGAACTTAGAGCCCAGCGCTAGGAACTTCCTGGGAGTGGTAGCCACCTCAGTGGAGATCAGTCTGGACAGATTAGGCAGACAGAGGAACATTTATATAAATATATCTATAACTCTATATCTATAATATATAACTTCCTGGGAGTGGAAGCCACCTCAGTGGAGATCAATCTGGACATGGAGACAGAGGGCAATTTAGCTTTTAAATATAGCTAACTACATTAAACTTTTTTACATTTTAGCAGCGCATTCAACTAAGGTAGGTAAGACAACCACGTACATTATTAGTCATTGTGAGTAACTAAACTATACGTGACTACTATATAGCCATACTAATCATGTATTGCTACTGTAATAACGTATCTACGACCCGTCTCCATTTAATACAATAAAATAATAACTCGGATGTTCTTCACAAGTGAGAATGATAGAACCTATCCTGGGGAGCGTCAACATTGTGTTCTCTTACCTGAAGAAGGTGTGATGCTCCACACACACTTTCCACAGCTTCTTGGAGGCCTTGTAGTTTGGCAGTTTGAAACCAATGGCGCTTTCGTAATGCTCCAGCTGTTGGAGACAAAAGCATATGAATGATGATAGCACTGCACTACAGCCTATTCATTTGACATGTAACTAAACTTTGACTTATGATTATTGCACTGCATATCTGACTGTTGGGCGATTAGGCCTCTTGGGGGGGGGCTAAAAGACAACCAAACACATAAATAAAGTTGACCTCTGAGGGGCGTATCTTGATGAAGAAGCTGCTGCGTTTGTAGGAGACCTTGAGGACTTTGGGCCAGGGGAACCGGTTGATCCTCAGCTTGTCCTTGTAGACCATCAAACCCCCAGAACACACACCCAGCATGATGTCCACTCCATCTAGATCCTGGAGAGAGGAGAGGAGAGGAGAGGAGGGGAGAGAGGGAGGGAGGGAGGGAGGGAGGGAGGGAGGGAGGGAGGGAGGGAGGAGAGGAGAGGAGGTGGGGAGAGAGAGAGAGGGAGGGAGGGAGGGAGTGAGGGAGGGAGGGAGGGAGGGAGGGAGGGAGGGAGGGAGGGAGGGAGGGAGGGAGGGAGGGAGGGAGGGAGGGAGGGAGGGAGGAGGTGGGGAGAGAGGGAGGGAGGGAGGGAGGCAGAGAGATTTGAGAGAGTAAAAGAGTGGATGGAAGAGTGTGTGAGTGAATGAGTGAGTGAGAAAGAACCCCCAAAAACAGAGAATACAAGACCATTATACCATTGACTTGGCCTGTGTGTTAATGTAATGACAACATCCATCCACCGGGAGGCAGCATCCATCTCCCTTTCAGCATAATGACTTCCATATTTTATTTAAATCCCTGGTTTTGATGCAAACAGATTGACCTCATTTCTGCTATTAAATCTGTGGTCCGACAGAGGCACACGTTTCTCCCTTTTTTGGGAACAGACACGAACACTGACTTCACAGCTGACGTAGGTTACACTGCTGCTGCAGGCAGGAGGTAGGTGGGTGGGTGCTATAACCACGTAAAATACCATATCTACATCCCAAATGGCACCCTATTCCCTATATAGTGCACTACTTTTGACGGTCCCTGGTGAAAAGTAGTGCACTATAAAGGGAATAGGGTGCCATTTGGGACGCAGCATATCCTTGTCTTCATCATCATCATCATCATCATCATCATCATCATCATCATCATTATCATCATCAGGCCTGCTCTGCTCGGTGGTTAGTAGGACAGGTGTGACATAACTGGCCTCCAGTGGACAGACAGGAGGACAATGAGGGACAATCTGGGCTGAAACACCTGCACTCCTACACTCCTGCACTCCTACACTCCTGCACTCCTGCACTCCTGCACTCCTACACTCCTACACTCCTGCACTCCTGCACTCCTACACTCCTGCACTCCTACACTCCTGCACTCCTGCACTCCTACACTCCTACACTCCTGCACTCCTGCACTCCTGCACTCCTACACTCCTACACTCCTGCACTCCTGCACTCCTACACTCCTGCACTCCTGCACTCCTACACTCCTGCACTCCTGCACTCCTGCACTCCTACACTCCTACACTCCTGCACTCCTGCACTCCTGCACTCCTGCACTCCTGCACTCCTACACTCCTACACTCCTACACTCCTGCACTCCTACACTCCTGCACTCCTGCACTCCTACACTCCTACACTCCTGCACTCCTACACTCCTGCACTCCTGCACTCCTGCACCCCTGCACTCCTGCACTCCTAGATCCTACACTCCTGCACTCCTACACTCCTACACTCCTGCACTCCTGCACTCCTACACTCCTACACTCCTGCACTCCTACACTCCTGCACTCCTACACTCCTGCACTCCTGCACTCCTACACTCCTACACTCCTGCACTCCTACACTCCTGCACTCCTACACTCCTACACTCCTGCACTCCTACACTCCTGCACCCCTGCACTCCTACACTCCTACACTCCTGCCAATGCGTCATCATCAATGGAGGTACAATATAGAGATTTTAAAACAAGTTAGAATTTACTCATATTCACACATCAACAACAATGTGATGTTAATACACAGCATCTTCATTTGGACTTTTTTTGTCAGCTAGTCTTCACATGGAGCCTGTCAGTTTCTTTGTTGAATGAGTAATGCTCTGCAGGTTGGGGTTGTGATCCTACAGTACGTTGCCTTGGCCTGGGTTGTGACTCTACGTTACCTTGGCCTGGGTTGTGACTCTACGTTACCTTGGCCTGGGTTGTGACTACATTACCTTGGCCTGGGTTGTGACTACGTTACCTTGGCCTGGGTTGTGACTACGTTACCTTGGCCTGGGTTGTGACTACGTTACCTTGGCCTGGGTTGTGACT